GTCTTCCAGCAATTAGGCAATTAGGCATTCAATGTCGTTCCCTATCATTCCCAACTTCTCACTTATTTTTCCAATTCACAAAATAATAAGGTATTCCAAAATGATTATTTCATAATGACCTAAATAAAATGGCAATTTATCCAAATACTTTTAATGCATAAGAAGTAGTCATGCACGATAACATGTCTCTTGCAATAATTTAAAGAAAGAACCTGATTGTTTCCAGCACAAAATTTTATAAAATCAAGAAACACGCTGAGGATATTGCTATTTCCAATAACATGACAAGCACCGATTACACACGAAAATTAAAAGAATATTTCTGGAAATAATAACTGTCAAGTACCTTATAGAATCTGTAAAATGGTTTGATGCACGAAAAAACCAGTGAGCTTTATAACTGATAGATAACTACAGAAATCTGAACCAATTTGTTAAGCGAACAATTCGAATACAAAGAGGCTAAGGAACAACCATAAATTTCTTGAAAAGTTTCGATTACCACAGCCTTTTTTTTATGAGAACAATATTTCTGACGTGCCATAAGTTCATAAAACATCAATTCCAGTCACATGAAAAAAGATTTGTTCATTTTAATGAATCTGAAATTCAATCCTTGACACGAAATAATACAATGAAAATATCCAAACTGTCCTTCCGGTACACAGGATTTTGATTTCTATTGTTACGGACCAGTGAATTTAGGAACGAAAGTAGTCGAACTCGAGCAAAAGATGATTTTAACAGAAAATGGAATTAAGTTCTGGGAGAAATAAATCATTTCTGTATATGGCAAAGTGATCGCAGAAGTGTTCTTGGAAATGAAAAAAATGGAAGGTACGACCAGAACTAAGGGGAGGAAATGAAATGTTAATTTAGAAATTATTTTATCATTTTAGTACAGCTCAGAAAATTTGCTTTAGTTACAACAAAAGGAAAGGCATTATAAGAAAACAACAAAGAAACTGACAATTTCTTCGTACAAGTTAAAATTCAGAATTATTTCAGCACCCGAACTACAGAAAAATTTCACTTGGTAAGCCATCAGAACAAACAAATACAGGGAAAAATCAAGGTCGCTTAAAAAAAATCTTGCCTGGTCAAAAAACCGAAAAAAAATCCCCGACCAGTAAACCAGATATTTTCCTTGCGACAGAAAATAATTCGAAACTGCTCGAAGGTTTAAATTGAAGACTGCGATGGAAAACTGATAAAATGCATCAGTTAAAAAAACCACACTGAAATCAACCGGTTTTCAATTAACAAAAGTTCTATTAGAAAGTTATTATAATAAAATATTTATGTCAAGACATAGAAATATCGGAACCACCTACTTCAGATATTTTGATAGGGCGAGGTAAGAGGGAAAACTGAACTTTGACAGTATTGGCTAGACAACGATTAGCCCTGTTTACCACCTTTGGTGAACCCACTAGAAAATTATATCCCAAATAAAGAATTTCAAACCTTTCCATATTTCTTCTTTCATTGCGAAAGTCAAGTTTTGAAATTGGGTACGGAGGCAACCTTACACAAACATTTCACGAGCCTTGCAAAAATTGATACACAAAGAAAAGTTTTGTAAGGTAGAAGAGAGCAGAAATCCTAAAAACCTTGTAAACTAAGTGAATACGAAATTTTTTGAAGATCCTCATTTTGTAGAATATAATAAAGATAGGGGAATTTTTCTTTTCTAATGCAAACATCATCCTTATAATCTTTCAAAAAAGAATCTGCCTCTTTTTCTTGAACATTATATATACATAAGGGAATATGAAAACCAGCAAAAAAATCGTCATTAACAGTTGACAATGAACCAAAACCTTTGAAACTGCATAAAAAATCGCAGCAGTTATTTGCAGCAGAAAACCACGAAGGTAAACATTTATGGCAAGAATGCACGCGAATTTTGAAATGAATTAAACCAGCTGAGTTAAACTCTTGAACTTTTCTGAAATAGATTTCCAAATTCCAACTTTTTATTGTTACCAGCTGCTGAAACACCGGTCGTGTTTTTCTCCTTAATCACCATAAATCCATTTTTGGTATGCGATGAAGATGATCTGAATATTGCATTTGATAGACTTCGTTTCAATAACTTTAGATCTTGCTTGAACCTGAAATAAACATACATTAACAAACATTCGGAAACTTGCAGAATCATCTCGCAGAATTATCTCGTTATTGAACGAAGTGGATCACAAAATAGAATCGAAGCCCATTAAATGATAAACTGCATATCATTAAGCAAATGAACCAAACTCTAATGGCTAATATACATACATGTCGTGTTTTGCCACAAAGTTATTACATCCATATTTTAATTCTTTTTATACTATTTGATCTAAAAAAGAAGAAAATCTGGGAATTTTTAGGAAAGGTAGTTATACCAGCATGCAAAAGTAAGAACTCGAATTAGAATATACTAATATAAACAAAAAACATATCCAACAGGAATCAAAGATATTGGAAATAGTCAAAACATATTAAAACTACTAGAGGTACTAATTGTATTAGAAGTATTAAATCTCCCATTACTAAAGTCCAATTACACAGCTCCTTAAACTTTCTTTTAATCCATTTTGATTACGACTTACCCAGCAGTTGTTAAGATACATGCTTCAAAAGGCGAATAGTTATGATTGCTTTCTAGAATCAAAATTTTGTGAAAAATAATAAAGGCAAGGAAGCTAAAAAAGAAAGCATACGGTAAAAAGCGATTGACAGTTGTTGTTTGAGACGCAGTGGTGGCAGTCATTTTAGTAACTGCTGAAGCTGCGGATATAAACTGAGCATCAGTAATAGTTTCCATGAGAGAACTGATACTTTGATTTTGAGATTTCTGCATTTCGGCAGTAGGTCCAAGATGTCGAGATTTGTTAAACGATCCAGAAGATGTAGAACGTTGAAGTAGTTCACTGCTATCAGCTACAAATTTTAGGGGTCTTGGAGCATTTACGTTCTCGTGAACGTGTCTTTGCAAATTTAAAGAATCCAAATATCGAGCTCCCGCAGATGTAAAACCCTTGTGCGCACACAAACAAATAGGTGATGATATTCGATTGCTAATATCCGACGAAGCTTCGATTATAGCAGGCGGACTATTTGCAGACGTAGAAGATGAAGCCAAGCTTGCAGTCACTGTAGCGCCAACTAAATCTAAACATATTTGGTAACATGAACTAAACATGGAAGGATGTTAGCAAGATCTGAAATAAAAATAAGGTAGATGGAATAAAACAAATTTTTTTCTCTCAATCCTATAAAGTTTAAATAGACGAATACTTCCTTTTACTAATAAATAATGGATCAATTATTCAAGTTTCAGCCCTAAAATGGAAAAGGACAAATACAATACAATATCAAAAGATCCATGCAAGCACAACGTAAGGCATCATTTTCCTTCAAACTAGCAAAACATGCTTTTGAGTCAAAAAAAAATCAAATTACAAAGGAATCAAAACATGGAAGTTCCTTGGAAAACTAAAATGGGTAACTTCAACAAACAGCAGTCAATTAGCAATACTGGTAAGCTTCTTGAGAGAGCATTAACAGCAGATCTACGCATTTCATATGTGGCAGTAACGGATAGTGCAGTAAAATGGAAAATAAAAACTCTAAGAAGTATTTTAACTCAATGAACACCCAAAATTACTAACCCGATTTACGGTAAAACGAACTGGAAGATCCGGTTCTCGGTAACACACTACTTGTCGTTGTAGAAGGAAACACCATTTCTACAAATGCAAAGAATGTCTAAAATAAAATCACACTTCAAGAGAACACCAATGGACACAGATCTAAAAAAATTCATTTATAGAAAAAAACATTTGAAAGCAAAATAAGAACTGATCAAATACCGAATATGATTAATTTGAATCTCCCCAGGGAAAGACTTATTTTTTTGTGGAATATCAAGAGTATATTCACATATCAAATTGATCGGAATGTTACCAGCTGTAACTGATGTAGGAACCAAAGGGAAACCGCAAAGTGATTCAATTTCAGTCCATCGCTGGTGACATTCACTCATTGCCAATGAGATTTTCTCCATTCGGGCTCTTAAGAACAATCAGTTGAAACTGTATCTATTCTTAAACTCAAGTCCAACAATTACCTTTTGATTCTCCACTTTCTCTCCTTCTAATGCTTATCATATTCTCTATGAAAATGGAAATCACTTTAAAGTTGATGAAGTATTAGCAACATTTGCCAATGTGCCAATGCACTTCATCGTATTCTCAAATGATTCAGGACAAATCGCTGCTGTTATAAACCTCATCTTCTTCATACTAATAACTCATTCAAAAGTTTGTACTTCAAAGCAAAAATGCGTGAATCGATGTGGTCTGTTCCCGATGAAGCACCCGTCGCAAGTTTAATAGAAGAAACAAGGCTTGACTGCTTTTTCCGAAGTTTATCAATATGTTCAATGGCCTCTCTCATTTCAGCAATGCATTCCATCCGCTGCTGTCCAACATAACTTATTTCTAGTTCACATGTCCTTAAAATGGTAGAGAATGCATTAAATGACAACAAAACTGTTCACTTACGATTTTGAACAAAGTTCAGACTTCCCTTGCTAAAGTCCCCATCCACATCTGTCACTTTGAAATCAAAACCAAGAACAATCCTAGAATGGCCACGTGCCTTAGTAAGAACTTTCTTCTGAACTATCAAATTAGACTACGTGTCAGTAAACCCAACTTGATAAGTCAGCGGTCTAATATCTGGCTGAAACTCTAATTTAAATCCATTAGATGTGTAAAACATTAAAAATTAGTAAGAAGACCATAAGCAACTTAAAAAATTCTTGTTCAAAAAGATGAGTTGCTGTATCTTGAAGGTCTCGAACAACATCTGTGTATCATTCAAGCAGGTGTACTATTTCTTAAAGTCTTTTCCTACAAATTTCGATTTCAAGTAACAATGAACCTCCTTAACAGTGGCTGCAAAGCAAGAGGAGCCGAAACAGAACTTTCCAGCAAGCGTTCAACTTCCATAAGTTGTGACTTCAGCTGAAAGCATTAGTCAGTAAGCTAAATCGTAACTTATGGTACATAAACCGCAGAATTTAATTGCCCGAAAAACAAATTAGAGTTAATCTCTAAAGAGAAGAGCTACTTAAATTGAGTGCAACTGAAAAAATGACCGTTTCAACTTGTTCGCTTTCTGGTGCACCACGACTCGATTGTCGTTTTTTTTGCTCCTCTTCAAATCTAAACGTATTAATTCAAGATTACTTCCTTACATGAGCAGCAAATAATTTAGAGCATAAAATCAAAAAACTTTATAGGTTGTAAAGAAAACCACTTCATTCGGCTTCAAACCGAAATCTGCACCTACTAAGAGAAGGCTTTCTATATTCATTCCGTTCCGCTCCAAACTTTTTGCACTTGACGTAAATTATCAAGGATAACCAGTGACAGTGCTATATTTGAGACCAATTTTAAAGCAGAAAAAAATCCTGACCTCTGCTGGATATCTTCAAAAGCGCTTTGCATTGATCTTAGCTGTGATAACTTCGCCGCCAGCTGTTCCATTTGTAAATGTGATCGTGTTCGCTGCATTTTGAGAACAAAAAGTACCGTAACTAGTACAATCACTAAGACTGATAAAGCAATGTCTTTAAGCCGAGATGCATTACCGTCTGAAAAAATTACCACTCCTTGTTTTTAGTCTTTTTTCTCTTCAACTCATTTTTGAGAGAAATTTCTTCCAGGTTAAACAAGACATGCGAAATAATTAGTTTTCTAAGTAGCAGTCCAAACCGTTAAGTACCACCAATTCTAAACGAATTTCAAAAAACTGACCACTGAAACCAAATAGAACGACATCTAATGCCTTTAGACGCAATTTCTGCTTATGTACCAAATTTTTGATGCCTAAATCGGACAATAAATAAGTCGAATTAGCGACAGCCATTCTGAAAAATATAACATTCAGAACGAAATTTCACTACAGTCATCCGTGAAACTTGACCATTATTTCGATCCATAGACTACTTTTCTGATTAAAGAATAAGATGTTTTTGCTTTAATTTTGAGTCTAACAAAAGTTTTGATAGTACCAACACTGATGCAGGTTTTAACATGCAGACTAATCGATGTCGTTAAACTTCCTAATGAAAATAAGATCGATCAATGCTTGGTGTCAAAATAATGAAGGTGGGCGAATTAACACTTTAGACATAAAGTCATAGATCAAAAAAAAAGGAAAAAATAATGAATACTCACAATAAGCCGACCTGGGTAAAGCGCGACCGTCAATTTCCATCCCAATGAAAACAGATGCATACTGAGGAAGACGAACTGTACTTTCCAACCAATTCACCATATCAGCTGTTGTCCAGGAGCGCTCCTCAGATGCAAACCACGCTTCCCATAAGTCATCTACTGTTATCAACTCATCATGGTTATGATGAAAAGCACGTTCTCGCTTGGCCCGATCCATATCTCCCAACTGCATATCTTCTTTTAAAAACTGAAAATTTACAGAATTACTATATATTTATGAATTGAGGCAGAAATAAACACCTATTGTGCGAGAAAACACTGACTGTGATTGACTTGTATAGATCAAGTTACAGGCATATGTTTGAGTTTTACCGGATGTGATTTGTTTATGAAGCGTACTTACATCTGTTGATTCGAACCGATCGATGGAACCAGACTGATCGTCATCCATTTGATGGTGTAACCTCGTTATAGCTTCATATCCTTCTGGATCGCGCAATTTTTCATCGTTTGCTGTTATTAGTACATCTAAAAACGAGACAAGTAGCCAAATAAGTTATAGAGTAATAGCATGGAAATACTTTCTCTTGCAGATCAATAAATCTAGGATGCTAACGTCTAATCTCAATAACGACTCTACTCAAAAAACAAGTTGTTTCGAACAAAAAAACTAGTTTTTTCTTGTAAAAAAAGACTACCACTAATTAATCTCAGCTGACCGGCTACCTGTATGCTCATAGTCAACCAAAGTGTCCAATATAACACTAATTATGTAAAAAGAAAACTTAATTTTTGTCACTTTCTGACAATTGCACAGCGCTAAGAAATTAACCAAGATGCCCGGAAGCATTTTCCGTCTAAAGGACTGTACACCTGCTACCATATCCAAATCTTCTGAAATCTCTAAAATCTAAAATTACGTAGTTTGAAAAGGAAAAGCAAGATTCTGAACGCTGGTTAGCATACAGAGATGGATGTAAATGAATTCATTCAGTCTATGCAAAATATAATTCAACAGCATACTATAAATCTACTACTCACCAGATTATTGATCCATAGCTCTGGGCAGAGGGTGCAAAGGAACTTCCACTGCTCCTGAAAAGATACTTATAAGCTAGCTAAAAATGAATATCCAGTTCCGTAGGATTAGCACCTAACTTTTTCATCTGACTATTTAATTTTGCAATGCTTATCGGTTGAGCGAACCGTAGTCGACACTCACTTAATATTTCAAAAGAAAATCATTTACTCCTTCAGAAATTGTTCTTTGACAAGTCAACTTCTGCAGAAATTGCTCTTTGAAATGACAAATCCCTCACAGTGGCCAAAGCCTCAACCTCCTAGTCTCTTTATTTCCAGTAGTACAACAAGCAGACAAACAAACAGCCTGTGCTCCAATCTCATTCAACAAAAAATGGCCCAAATCGGTAATGGGAAGAGAGCGCTGTGAAAATATAAATCCTGAGGTTTGCACTAGCTTTCTTTGAAATCATACAAACGAGCAGAATAGCATAATGTTCGCTAGGCCTACCGTGATAATATTCCGATTTTAACTTAGTCAATCAATGCATCTGACAAGTCTGTTATTTCACCGGATAACTTTATAAGGAGTTGATTTAGATTATTTTTAGATCAGAACGAGCTTAGCCATAAATTTAACTTTTCTGCGGACTTCAACATCGCAAGGTATGTATTTCTCGGTTGAAAATTCCAAACTGTTAAGTTTCATAAACTGTAGAACTATTAAACTCATTTAAAAAACGCATCCACATCTATTTATACTGTCTGCCATGCAGACTTGAAGCATATCAAGAACTCTGATGTGTTAAAATCGACAATAAATTCTAATTCGAAATATCTATCTAAAAATTGAATTTCTGTAAAACTAAAACGTTGCATAAACATTACAAAAAAAATTTGCAATTGTTGTCATGAGAACAAGGTGTATTAGGATGCCGTATAAAACACAATACGTCTGAATAAACCGATGTAAATTTTAGAAGTTCCTTCGAATCATACAACCAAACGGAACAAACGCCCTACCCTACTCATCCTGCGAGTAAGTTGAAAGAAGTCGCCTTCCAGTTATCATCAACAGACTTTTACGCAAGTCCAGCATATATGACCCAAGTCCCAGAGGATTTCATCTTTTTGGATTTGATCATATTCCAACCCCTTAAAACTATAGCGAAATCCAACGGTGTCTTGTTAAGTTTTTTATCAGTACTTCAGCTTTACCATTGGAGAATGATAACGCTGTCTCTTAAGCTTAGTGGAAGTTTTTTGGGCCAATCCAAACGAAATATTCTTTTCTACCTTTTCACTAGTTGTCCCACACGTTCCTCGCTGTACTTGACATAGTAATGTAGTAATTAGCAATCTGTTTAGAATCTGGTGTTCGTACTAATTTTTCAATTCTCCAATTTTCTTCATTATCCTTATGAAGAAAAAAGGAAAAATGTTTTCATATCGATCTGATTTCCAGCAAAATATCATTAAAAGTTTTCCATTAATTGATTAAAAGCAGTTACTAATCCGTGTTGACCGCCGACCATAACTTTTCCATCACTGTTCTGTAACTAATAAAAATTCTCTTTGCCTGTAGATAAGCTGAAACAAAACAAATGAATCTTACATAACTATAATTATAATAGTTCCTTCTTTAGTTTCATGGCTGCTCAGGTCAGTTCACCGAAAATGGTGTCGAGAGATCAAGCAAGAAAGGTAATGTATCATCTCTGATCTCAAATTCATCTCCTCTTCCACACCTTTCCTTTAAACCTATTGTACCCAATTTCTGGTCTACTCCACACTCTCAGAATAGGGCAACTGTTGAACTTTGCCCTTTCTAGAATAACCAATCCCTCCTTCCATTCTTCCGCATACTTCTAATCCCTTCAAAACTGTTCTGTTAAACACATTGTGGAACGCTCCCTATTGAACATCTCGATCAATAAAGTGCTCAGAATAGCGAAAAAAGAACTGACTTGACGAAAGAAGAGACGAGACGAGACATCTCTCTCTTCTTCTTTCTCTCTCTCCCCCTTCCTCTCCCTCTCCCTTCCTGTCTTTCTCCTGTGATGTATTTGTTGAAGTGCATATGTAAACAGCTCGTGACTTTCGATGGATTTTGAAAGAGAGATGGAATCCTTGATTAATTCAATTAGCTACACAATTTAATTAAAGTAATACGGTTACTGTGGTACAGGCAATGCCACCTGTTATTGATAAGAGTCATCAGAAGTGGACATAGCTTAATGAGCTTATTGCAACGGATCACACTCTTGTCAACCGTTACCAAATATTTTTCTAGTAGTAGATTCAAGACTCACACTTCAATCTGAGAATCAAATAGAGGATCCATACTTCAGATTTGTAGGATTGCAAGGTCCTTGTCCAGTGCCAAATTTATCTACCCGCTGAATTGTCAGTCTCTCAAAAAAGTTATGAGCCATCAACTGACCAATGGTATTAGAAGTTTGAACGAGCTAACCTCGCCCTTCAATAAAGAAATTATAAATTTCAACCAATGACAGTCATTGATGTCATTCATTGATCAGCTTGAATAATATTCATTTTAAATTTTAGAAAAGAATTTTGATGCCATAAATGAAGACTTTCGAATTATTCATACCAATTGAAGGAGATCGGGAAGATAATTGTCCTCTCAATCAATCGGCGCGATCACATCAACCGGAAATTAAACCGTATTCTTATGTACTGATCAGAGCATCAGTTTATCATAAACAGATGTCATCACAAAAAACATTTTCTGTTCAAGTCGTTCAAAATATTATTGTACCCTATCCGTCCTTATTTTCCTGTTATTTTTGGCCGCCTTTATTGATCGTCATAGTGAATGTGAACGATTCTTTTCAAACTATGGTATTATTAAGCACTTCACTGAGTTACTCAGTACAAACTTTTTTCACATCGATTTCAATTGTGGCCAAACACATAGAGGATTTTGTATGTAAACTTGAAAATAAATTAAATTAATTGACAGTTTGTAAATTATCCAAATTTCCTATCCCTCCACAAATTTAGTGCTTTCGTCTTTGAAAAGATCGAGATCGATATTCCGTTATTTTGCTGAAACAATCTTACGAATAATTTCTTTTCATTGCTAGTATAAGTCTGCTTGGCTTCACTTTTTAGATAGACAAATGAACTTTCGGATAAATCTGTTAATAAGCATCAGCGATAACTGAAATTTGGTCAGTAGCGCATTTCAAAGTAACAATGCCGCTATTAATATGCATTTTCATGTCACATGCAATTCCCTTTTTGCAGTTTGTATTCGGAAAATTCCTTCGACATGATTTTACGATCATAAAAAGACATCACATAAGCGCTGTTTGGTGGAAATGCAAATTTACCAATACACCTGCATTTATTTAAAATTTATGGTTTAAATATTTCATTTTTAGTACCGGATTTCAAATTGCTCCGTTTCCCACCGATTTACTCTGCCGGTAGACAGTTGAATTCTGATAAACTAATTGAACAAAATTATTCCAAAAGCAGGCTTAAAAAGAGTTCCATTGGAATGAATTGAATTAGAATTCAGTTTTTGAGTGGATTTAAGTCATTTTCATGTCAGTTCAGGAGGCACTTGAAATTGCAAACCAGGATATGAAATCGTTTTTTTCAAATTCGCTTTTAAGCTTTTCATGGCTGTTTTCTTCATTTCATTCTCCTTTAAACAAACTTCAGGAATGGGACGAATTAATACACACATTTTTTCCACTCTCACTTCTTACATAACTATCTTGATTTATGAATTTTTAAGAAACAATTTTTTTTGAAATTTTGACAATTAAAGGATGGTCCTATTTGACAATTGCTTAGGCTCAGTAGTTTTCAACCTTCCAACTCTAGTTGTAAATTTGTTTATCTAACTTTAATTATTTCCTCTTAATCCTATTCATCTATCCTGTTGTTACTTTGCAGTAATTCCTCCGACAGCTATTATCTCTATTATCGTCTCCGATCCTAGGGAGACAACTAATCATTTTATATAGGACTGGAATGACTTTCTATATCTGCTTGTTTCCGTTTATTATCATTTCAATCTCGTCGATGTCAGGAAAAGATTTACAAAACAGAATTTTTACTACTAACTAATTCTTCTTACGGTTTAATTTATCTCCTCAACGATTGATGAGAATTAAGTATTGTCAAAGCGGACTGAAGGTGATAACATGGAGTAAGAAAGCGGAAAAAGAGGAGACGGCAGAATTTCAACGGCTATTCTTTCACACCCCCAGAAAAACATCTTTAGATAGTAATGTATCTTTAGATGTGAAATCTCTGCATTTGATTGATGGACAGCTTCAAAATTGACCTTGCCTCGCCTGACCAATGGTCTTTACAAATTATCAGTGTAATATTTGATCGGATATGCATTGGTTTTATTCCATCATTGTAATTGGCGTTGACCTTTTTCTTTAGCAAGTTATGTGATGACGTGGATGAGGTAGCTAAATAATTTGCTGCCATTGGAGTTTTTTTTATTCATCCAAAATGATTAATTAGCTGATAATAATATAGGAATGGGAATGGATAGCAACGCCTATTGCAGTCTTTTATCTGCCCCTTCCTTCCTTCAGTCTTTTCAGCCAATCTCATCACATGCATTTCATTTTGTTTGTGATAAAAATGTCCAGCAACTCGTCATGATAGGTCAGACCTTCTTCCAGAAAAAACTATTGCAGTTAAGGACAAGCATGACAATGATCAATATACCTATTGATTACTGAATATACAGTAGAGTTTTGCATTGATCTTTTGGGGTAGAACAAATTACATTCTCGGTGTATTAGTTCAAATCTAATTCTAATTGCATTCCCCAATCAAACTGTTTGTAATATTATGCCTTTTGCTTACAATTCTTAGTATATTTTGAAAAGAGAGATTTCTTTATCATTCATATAACATTTC